GCAGGCTGGGGAATTCAACATAAAGGTGGTGGCAGATTCAGTGCCCGGTGAGGAGAGATGGCGCCTTCCAGCTGTGTCCTCACATAGAGTCTGTCTTTTCTAAGGACACTAATCCCATCCACGGGGAATCTAATCTCATGATCCAATCACCACCCAAAGGCCCCACTTTCTGATATCATCGCATTGGTGATTAGGTTTCAGCATATAAATTTTAGGGTGTCACAAACATTCAGGCCATAGCAGGGACTGGGAGAAGGTGGATTATATTGGGGTCCTTCCATTCTGCAGAGAGCAGCAAGTTTTTCTCTCTGGATTAGACATTATTTTCTGTGTATGAACCTTCTCTTCACAGCATCCCATTCTTCCAGCTCTTTAAATGATTTTGTAAGCCACCGGTTCCGTGTGATAAAGTCGCTACACAAGACCACCCAGAGAGATTGAAGTTACCTGCAGATAAACCCTGACTGATCCATGAAGGTGTCCTCACGTGGTTCTAGGATGCCTCTGCATGTCTACCCCTGGAGTGTTGGTCAGGGCACAGCAGGAAACAGAGGGCACATTCTAACAGCTTTACCTGAAGAGCATTCAGTAGAAGGGCTGCCTAGAGGGCCGTGAGTAAGAGACAGGCACTGATGAGCATCGGTGAGCTAGGGCTGGCTCAGATGGGGTTCCTGAGAGCTGACTGTGAAAGTGTCAGAAGTCTGGGAGCTGGCTGTTCATTGCTGTCCTTACTANGGTTCCCGAGAGCTGACTGTGAAAATGTCAGAAGTCTGGGAGCTGGCTGTTCATTGCTGTCCTTACTAAGACTTTCATTGCATACACTAGCAATTAGATTGCACTACAAAGGTGATAAATATAAAACCTGATGGTTTTCTAATTATTTTACCACATTTGACTGACATCTGTACTCTTTGGGATCTTTAGGGCTATTGTATCTGCGTGTGGTGCAAATACTATGCCATGGCGTGTGACCTGGCATTGAGAGAGTAAAGGACAAACTACCTACACACAGAAAGGGCTGTGACGTGACCTTTGCCGTGAGTCCTTCCCTTCAGACCATGAACTCGCACTGGCTCCCCACTGCCTACACTATGCAGTCCAAGCCCCTTCGGCTGTCCCTCCAGCATGGGAGAGCCGGTCCCCGGCAGCTTCTGCTGTCACCGCCTGTCGTGCGCAGCCACTGTGCACTGAGCCCTAGCGAGCCTGCTGTGTTCGGCAGGTCCTATCCCCAGCTCAGCTGTGACTCGTCCCCTCTTGTCATCGTGGGGCGTAACAAGCCCCCCTAGTCTTTGCCTCCCTAAGATGCTGTGTGGTCTGCACGCCCTCCAGGTTCCCCCTGGACTGGCAGCGGGAACGCACAGGGGCAGTCGCCTGACGCACAGGGAAGAGGAGTTCAGGGCCGGCTGGAGCTATGTGAGGTGGTCCAGGCCGGCCTCGGCACAGCCTCACGGCCAGTTTGGCGGGAACTCAACACGTTCTAGGAGGCCTAACTTCGGGCCTCTTTGCAGGCACAATCTGGGGAGTCCGGGTCACGGCAGGCACCAAGGGGCGGGGCCTCGCCAGGAGCCTCCGTCTCTCCAGGGCCCACGGGGTCTCCCAGGGGCAGCAGGGCGGGATCGGCGGGAACACAGCGCAGGCCTGGCGCCTCACGGGCTGGCGGCCTGTGTGCGCAGGCGCAGTGGGCCTACCACGGTGCATTGTGGGTGAAGGGGCGGAGTTCTGTGCGGTAGCCATATTCCATCTGCTGCGCTGCACTCAGGGAAGGCGGCAGGTGGAGCAGCCATGCAGGCCACAGGCGACGGGCCAGGGGGTGCGGCAGGCGGTGCAGAAGGCCAGGGTGGCCCCATAAGCCCTGATGGAGAGGGGAGCCCCGGCGGCCCTGATGGAGAGGGGAGCCATGGCGGCCCTGATGGCCGGGGTGGCCCGGGAGCTGTCTGCGGTGCGGGCGCGGCAGTCGTCGGCCTTCCAGGTATCCTCGATGTCCCACGGGCCCCACCTGAAGGACGGCGAGGTGGAAAACGGGCGCCTGCGGCCGGATGGCCAGGAAACCAGCTCCATGAATTGTATCCTTTACGGGGAGCCCATTATGGCCGGGACGGCAGGGGAAAGCGGGGAGGCATAAAGGATGGACTGAGCACGGTGCGGTGTTGCAGAAAGGGGAGCAAGGCAGGGAGCAGGGACACTTGGAAGGCAAAGGCCAGAGCGGGGCATGGACGGCCGCAGGGTTAGACCGAGGACATGCACGGGGAGAGGGACCGGGCCCCAGTGTGCAGGGAGCTGCCTGGGACTGTGGCGGGCCGAGAGGGTCAAGGAGGCCCGAGGCACAGGCAGAGTCCTTAGTGGATGGGCCTTAACCGTTTCTCCTGCAGCACCCTCAGGGTCCCTTTCCTGTCTGCGTATGAGGCGGAGGTCGCCTGCCGATCCCTGAGGGTTTATGACAAATCCCAGCTGCCGGCCCTTCAGCAGGAGCGCACAGTGGATGGCAGCGTCCTGGTTGTGTCAGTTCTACAAGGGGCTGTGGTGGGGAGGTGTGGGGACCGGTGGTCAGGTGTTCAGAGGGAGGGTCATTTTAATGGAGACAGGGAGACACCTAAGTGTTAGGTGTAAAGAGAGGTGTGGGGCGCCGGGCACAGGCAAGAGTTCCCGCTGTTAACTTAATTTTCGTTTTCTTTCCCTTTTAGCAAATGGACTTCTCCAGACCCCGGCGTCCTCCGAGCTTCCGTAATCTCCTTTCTTGACCTGCTTTCCTTGGCGGTACGGATCGTGAAGGCCTTTGGGCCCCAGTTTATCCCTAAACGTCTGCAGGAACGATGGCACTGAAGCCCAGGCTCGTGTCTCGTGCCAGCCAACTGCGTTCACTGCCACTTTTCTCTTGAATGCCAACTTTTTGCCTCTACTGGTTCTTGGGTGCTCGGGGCCCACTTGTTTTGTTTCCCTGTTGCTGGAGGAGGGAGATGAGTAAATGTTTTTTA